GTACTAACCGAAAAGAGGTAAGAGTGAACCGGCCCCCTTAACTATTCGGGCCACTGCCAATTGACTTTGGGATAGCACTAGCCATCTTTGGAATGGAACCGTATTCCTAAATCTGCATATGCCTCGGCGCTTGTAACTTGATATTGCGCTACGGTAATTGCGCTACTGTAATTACCGACGACTGACATACATCCATTCAGGAATTACCAACCTGACCAAGACCAGTGATAAACATGCAATAAGACTGTTCAGACGATGATAAGGAAGATATTAATAGGGGAGTTCCAATCGAAATAGTTTGCAGTCGCAGCTATCATGGGACCCCTCTCCCCTACTTGTGTTTTTGATATCTCATGATTCCGAAGAGATTCATCTAACATGCATGAATCTATGGCATAGCTCAATGTAAACACAGCAGCTTGATTGACCCACCTGATAGTACCAACGGCCTGTCTGTTCCGCTCGACAGCTTACGGCGAGAGAGATAGGCTTTGCGACTAACCTATCCGGTCAGGATTGACCTTCCCAAGTGGGTAAAGAACAGATATCGCGCCATATTCATGATCATGAATGGACATGTATGAGACTGACTCAGGTATTGACATGAGGGTTTTCCACGGTCCGACGAAGAAGAACGGGGAGGGTTCCAATGATTCACGCTGAGTCGGCAAATGACTCCTGCCAAATCTAGAATAACTTCCAGATGGACCTCATATCAACGTTTCTTGACCCCTTTTCCGGTGTCCTTCTCCGATGTTTACTTTTCTACTCGGAGCAAGTCGCGTGAAGGCGCGATATCTTCTTCTCCACAAAAACAACCGCTACGAAAGCCTATGATGATCTCGGCTACACTACGGAGTTCAGTAAACGACTCTGTATAGTACACAGTACATCCACTACGTACTAACTCCCCACAGTTGAGCCTCCAATCCCCAGAAGGCTGATTAGAGCTCTTTTGCTCTACGTAGTATCGCTAAGAGATCGGCAAGTGCTCCTGGTCCTTTATACTCCGGAGTACGGAATTGTGGATGACATTATACGGAACCGCGGGTGGCTGTTCCGAAGCGTCGTGGAGCTTTAGCTCGATCGTTTGGCTAATCCTCGGAGAAAATAGCGTCGTGCACACTCCATGCTTTCTTTACCCTTAAGATCCGATAGAATGGGCAGTTGGTGCCTCGAACAGCTGTTCGGCTCAATTGATCCGTGACCGATCACAAAGTCACATTTCCAGCTTCCTGGATATCCTACAATGGATCTGTTAGATCGGACATCTGTTGATCAAAAAGCTTTTTAGAGACGGAAAAATAACTTCCGTCAAATGCGAAATCGTGCGGGAATTCTCCGGTATACAAGTACATGCGGGGAAATATGTATAAAAGAATACGGCTTCAAGAGGCCCCAGCAATGCCATCGAGATCAATATGTCCTGATTCTCAACTCATTTATAACCTGAATAACGCTTATTTTATCATTCTTCGCAGAAGCATCACTAGAGCCAGCGTCCTATGATGCGCTTCATACCCCATCTCGTGCTTACTGCCAGTGCTTCCCTATCTGTAGCCCTGCCTTCAGCATTGCCATCGCAAGGATTTGACTGGGATTCTATTCAGTACTTGTCTGTGTCTTGATCTTATCCTACACACATCAAAGGAAGGTTCTCAACTGACTACCAGACCCCCAGGCTCGCCTTCGGTGACTCGTATACATACGTCCAGGGAACAAAAGGGCATCAGAACTATAGTTTCATCGGGGATCAACTGAATCTCGAATACAATGCTCAAACTCTGCTGACCAACAAGATTGTGCAAAATCAGGTTCGTAGTCAATATTTCTTGCGCATCCAATGCTGCTGAATGCTGATAATTATCACTGGTAGACCGCGACAGCAGAAGGTGGCCCCAACTGGGTTGAGTACCTAACAGGTTGTGGCTTAGAGGAAGGGTTAACTTCCCCATTAAGCTGCACAAGACAACTGTGGGATTTTGCTTTCGCAGGAGCAGATATCTCCGTGGAACAGTATGCGAATGTTTGCTATTGCTTCCATTGCTCGCGGCATGGCTAACATTCATTTTGCCCAGCACCCCCCTGCACCATAACTTCACTGTCTCACTTGTCAACCAAGTCGCGCAATACAGAGCATACGGTCACCCAGTTCTCAAAGACATAGTGGAACCTCCGAGGACGCTGGTTGCCATTTGGATCGGCATCAACGATATCAATGACAGCGCCAAATATGCCGTTCATTTTCCCACGTTCTACAATGAGCTTATGGATACCCTTTTCGCCTCTGTCCGGGTCCTTTATTCCTTAGGATATCGCTCGTACCTTTTTATGAACCTCCCACCGTTGGACAGGACACCAAGCAACCAGAAGACGGCCAGTCCAAGCCCCAATGCGACCCAGGTTGCATGGTTCAACGAAGCACTAGCACAACATGCATTCAACTTCGATAAACAGTATGCTGATACTAATGTACTGCTTTTCGATGCTCATTCGGTTCTAAATGATATGATGGACCAGCCAACACAGTATGCGATTACGAACACGACTAGCTTCTGCCCCGGCTACGATCAAGCGGATATAGAATGGAACTATCAAGCTTATGGCTGCCCAACGCCCCTGGACACATATTTTTGGTTTAATTCTGGGCACTTGACTAGCCATGTGCACAAGCTGCTCGCCAAAGCTCTAGAACGCCAATTGAAATAAAGCGATATAGAAAGGACGAGATGAGATTGAGACAAAGGTAAGAGAGAACCCAGGTGAAAGTAGCAAAAGAAATGTAGAGAAACAGGAGAGATGCAAGGGAATGGTAAGAAGAGAATCTGTTTATGTATCCTGACGATGAATATGTCGCTTTATGAACGAAAATTAGCAAATCAACACCATAAGAGAGTTCATTATACAGTAACATCTGAAGCTGATATGGCATAATATGCTTATTGTTAACAAGAGTCCTTGACGCTGCTGTCGAATAAGAGAACACCTCCTTTGCCTGAAATCGGGGCATTTATTTTAGCCGAGCTGCAATTCTACTCCAGAGTATAACAATCATTAGTTTATATATCCTCGCATTCACCACTTCATTTTATCTCGGTTGTGACCGGTATTTCTAGGGTGTTCGATAGAAGAGAGCTTACCAATGAAGAGGGTCATAGTGCAGTTTTCGAAGTTCAACAAAAGGAGAGTATTGTAATGCCGCAGGTAGTTCTGGTTCCTCCTGTCCATACCAGTAGGCAACCAAATGCGAAGAATCAACACTCCAGCCGTAACCATGGATGCTGTGAGAAAAGACCATTAACTCAGGCGTATCCTGAGATCATGGTATAAGACTTACGATTCAATGCTTCGTAGCTTTTCTTTTATTCTGTTTTCTATTGCCAGTTTGAAGACATCCAGAGCAAGCTCATCACTGACGTGGCGGTCCTCAAATGTTTGGGGCACAAAGCACCGAATCGTGACCATCACTTTGATGTATCCCCTTTCGTCTCGCGATACTGCTAACAATCTAAGTAAGGCATTAAGATGATCATCGCATATATGAATACTGGTGGGGAGCCTGGTTTGCCAGGCCTCTTCCTCAGATGAGGGTTTTGAGCATGACTCCAGTGAAGGCATTTTCTCCGTATGACAGATATGTTGTTTAAGCTATGAATCAGGCTCGAAATTTGGGATGGGCTGCCATGATTTATAATCTGCCATTAGAAAATGCTGACTACGAAATGTTGGCTCAAGTCGAGGAAACAAGTGTAGCGCAATCCCGCTGAAAGATATTTGTCGATGCATTCAGCATGATGAGATGAAAGAAGTTTGTCTCTTTTTGTGGCACCTACCCTACAGCCACCTAGCTATGTTGGTTGCTGTAGAGAAAGAAAATAATCACACAGATACTCGTCTTTGTGTGAAGCTAGTGTATGAAGCCCTACTGTTTTATTATCCATGTTAAAGTGTTTTTATTCTCAAATCAACCGCTTTCATCACCAGGCCTCGCAAGTCTTTCAACTCGAGAGTCATTCCCGTGCAGAAAGCAGGAAGCTACCCGTGAATCTAGGTCCATGCAATTGGGGTCCTCTGAGGCGTCTTCATATGTCTTCAAACTAGCATCTCCGAGCGCCGAATGCGCGGTGCCGGCGAGAAACACATTTGAGGGAACATGGTCTTCAAGTTCTCTTGAAGAGCACACGCCGGCTGTTTCGCCTGGATAGACAGTCTGGGCATGCACATCTTCCGGAACCATTAAAAATACAATGCTCTGTTGGGGAATAAGCCATCCCGATTTTAGTGATATTGATTCTATATATATATTGAACAACTTACTGATACTTTCGCAATATTTGTTGGCAAGAAAGCAAATACCTCCTTTCCAGGAAACCTTGCCACCATACCAGGGACAGAATCCTTCACAATGTCATACACATCTAACTGAGCATTTCCGGGGAACTTGTTGGTTGACAGCTCGGCTATCGGCCTTCCGATGGCCTCTAGGTCGATGAACCCTACATTGTCAGAACCTGCATTCATGATTTAGTATCTTGGTAGATTTTTAAATTATCCCAGTGAATCCAGTGCATAACTGAAACATCTTTCTCTGAGATTTTCAGAGCTGGTCTTGGTTGTCCCGAGGGATCTGCGTGCTCTGAAACATCTTTGGGGAAATACCCTTGGGGAAGTAAATGCTTTTGGGGGAATATATTTGGGGAACATCTCCACCTCCACCATAGCCTTCCCAACCCACATCGCTAGAGTTCTCATTTTCTCAATCAAGTATTCAAATGAGAGTTCTCTTCTTTTACTTTAGTGCCCGGTGGATTTGGCCAAAAAAATATATATTCAAAAGGTCCGGTTGTCGAGACACTCAGAGTGGAGTAGGCTTAGAAACATTCTTGGAGAATATATCAACGTCATTGGAGACGCCTGATACAATTATACAACTATAAATCTACAGATCGGACGATAAGTTGGGGAGTAATTTAGCCACCAAACATACCTCCGAGAGAAAAATGCCAACCGACACCATAACCCTAATTATTTCTCCCTACCATGTCGGCCTCCGCGATCACCGCGTAGGCAACGGCCCCCACCGCATCCAATCACTCGGCCTAATTCCTACCCTTGAAGAACAGGGCCTCCAAATCCGCATCCATGAAATCCCCAGCGTGGAAAACTTCGAAGGCGAGATCGGACGAAGCTTTGAAATCCTCCGCCGGATTTCGGTCGCCGTCACGGAAGCCGTGGACAGCAACACCTTTCCGTTGATTCTGGCGGGAAATTGCATGTCCAGCGCGGCTGTGGCTTGCGGCTTGAAGATTCAGGATCTATCTTTCATATACTTCGATGCCCATGATGACCTGGACTCGCCAGATGTCAATGAAAATGGGTATTTCGATGCGATGGGCCTGTCGATGCTACGTGGCGAATCGTGGAAGACGTTAATGGGGACCGTGCCGAATTACAAGCCGTTTAGTTACGATGGCAGGTTTCTTTACTGTGGACTGCGGGACCAGTCTGATGTACAGCGGCAGCGGGTCATTGATGCCGGTATGAAGGCTGTTTGGGGTGAGACGTCGAGGAAGGTTGATTTTGCGGGTGAGTTGAAGACGCAGTTGGAGGAGAGGTCGTATGGGTCTGCTCTCGTGCATCTAGATCTAGATGTGCTGGATGAGTCTTACGGGAAAGTCAATGATTATCCGTCGCCGGGAGGTTTGACGGAGGAGGATTTGGTAGCTTGTATGGATCTGGTGCCGAGATCATCTGAGCCCAGGTCTTTGACGGTGTGTTCATTTGATCCGGATGCTGGGGATGGGGATAAGATTGCTAGGATTGGGATTCGGGCGATTAGAGCTTTTGTGGAGGCATTGTTAGAGACGGGAGTTCTGGGTAGGGATTAAGATGGATTATATGTATTAGGATAAGCGTTTTGATTATGGTTCCGCAGAGATATGCCCAGTTAAAGTGAAACTTAAAAGCTCCATCGACAAAATGGCGTCTCAAAGGAGCTCTTTAGTTTAAGATCATGACTACTAGGCATTTGTACTGCTCGGATTGATGACTTCTATGCCAGCTGGTATGGGACATTGATATGGAACTAACCGCTAACGGTAATTGAAAAACCACTTAACGGCGATTGGGCGGTGAGCGCGTGCATCTCGCGTTCCGTTCACGCGTTGTCTCCGCGACGCCCGCCTTTGAACCACTAAACCCTTTCTCTCACCCACACCGCGGTATCCTCTGCGGAAATCAATTGAATCCACGAGAAAAGGTGGTTAATGGACGCCAATCCTTAGGGATCTTCTATTTGTGGCGCCATGGCATCTGCCCGAGCTAAGTTGGCGGAGTTGCGTGCTCTGCGCGCTTCTGGAAAGAAACGTATATCGACGTATGAGGTTGAAGAACAGGATGATATCTATGAGGAGGTCGACGACGAAGGCTACAAGAAGATTATCCGTAACCGGCTCGACGAGGACGATTTTGTTGTTGACGATAATGGTGAAGGATATGCTGATGATGGTCGAGAGGTCTGGAACGAACGGACGGCGGACTACTATGACAGCGAGAGTGACGATGGCGAACTACCTGCCAATAGTAAGGCTGCTAAAAGGAAACGTGAGGAGGAGAAGCAGAGAAAGGAGAAAATCAATAATGGGATATCTAAGTATTTCAATAAGGGGACCGGCGTATCTGCCCCGAAGCCGAAAGTGAGTGCGACATTGCAATATTCTGAAGCTTATACCATGTCTAATATGTTCGCATAGCCGGTCGCCTCTGCCGAAGATGACGCATTCATGGCTGATCTCCTCGGTGAAGTTGATACCAACGTTGTCTCGAATCATGTTCCAACACAAAATGTGATCAAGTCTGAAACTCGACGCAAAGTTCGGATCCTTTCACCTCCTTTGTCCCACAGACCACGTCCGCAGAAAAAAGAGACGAAAGATGAGAATAGTGATCCGGTGTCGCCAATTGGCCAGAAGCCGGACCTGGACCTGGATAACGATGACGGGCCTCTTCCGGTGGCAGACGATGACATTTTAATGAGCGATCCCATGCCGTCGTCTCCCGTCAGCAAGGCCGTTGAAAGGAAATCGGCTGTTGCGGTAAAAGCGGAGGATCCTGACGAAGAAGACAACGATTTGATGGAAATCGCAGAGGCCACCGGGCAACACGAGGCCAAGACGACAAGCGTCAACATGGCCGGACGCCGGCCACCACCCAAGATCAAAAAAGAAGCCTTTTCCACCCCTGCGAATTCTTCCCCAGTGAAATCAATGCCAGACGTTGCGGATGCATCATGGAATGATGTGAGGAACAAGTTGAATGTCCTCAGTAGCCCAGCATCGGAAACGCGGACGTTCGGAAAACTACGTGCGCAAGATGTTGTGGAGGAAGACGGAAGCCTGCGCATGTTCTGGATAGACTTCACCGAAGCCAATGGTAGTCTCTGCTTATTCGGAAAGGTTAAAAATAAGCAGACTGGAAATTACGCAAGTGCCTTCGTCAAGATTGACAATATTTTACGAAAGCTCTATTTCCTTCCACGGGAGTATAGGCATAAGCATGGTCGGGATACGGACGAAGAAGTGGATATGGAAGACGTGTATAATGAAGTTGATGGCATGATGTCGAGACTCAAGGTTGGGATGCATAAGATCAAGCCGTGCACAAGAAAGTATGCCTTTGAGATGCCCGGCATTCCGAAGGAGGCCGAATACTTGAAGTTGTTATATCCGTATGATAAGCCCGCTTTGCCTATGGATCTCAAGGGAGAGACCTTCTCTCATGTCTTCGGTACCAACACCTCCTTGTTTGAGCAGTTTGTTCTTTGGAAGAACATCATGGGTCCCTGTTGGCTCAGGTTTGAAGGAGCAGACTTCTCTGCTGTTAACAACGCGTCATGGTGCAAGTTCGAATGCCAAGTCTCTAAACCAGCGCTCATTTCCCCAGTTCCAGACTCTGAGAACTTAGAGGCACCTCCTCTCACTTTGATGAGTCTTGCCTTCAGGACGCAATTGAACGTGAAAGAAAACAAACAGGAGATACTAATCGCAAGCGCTCGAGTGTACGAGAATGTTTCTCTTACGGACACAACACCTCCAGAGAAGCTTCCTTGCAAGACTTTCACGGTGATGCGACCTGTGGGTTCATCATACCCCATGCATTTCGAGACTGAAACCAAGAAGCAACGAGGCACATACATCTTAGAAAGGAGCGAGCAATTCTTACTTAGTAAATTCTTGGCATTGTTCGAGAAGATGGATCCTGATGTTTTGATGGGACATCAACTTCAAGAAGTCGACCTTAGCGTCCTGCTCAGCCGATTGAAGGAAAAGAAGACTCCTGGATGGCATCGATTGGGCCGGTTGAAGCGTGGAGATTGGCCCAAGAATTTTAACAGGGGCGGAGGTTTCTTCGCCGAGAGACATCTCATTGCGGGAAGATTGATGTGTGATGTGGCCAATGACATGGGCAAGGTGAGTTCCTCAACATTCGGGTAGTATTGGTGCTTGTACTAACAGGATATAGTCCCTCATGATGAAATGTCAATCGTGGAGTTTGACGGAGATGTGCAACCTTTATCTTGGACCAGGCAATGTACGGCAGGAGCTGGATAGCGAAGCAGCATTGAAAACTTGGGCTACCACCAAAGATGGCTTAATGAACTTCGTGAACCATTGCGACACCGATACCTACTTCGTTGCCGCATTGGTACTGCGGCTTCAAATGCTGCCTCTGACCAAAGTGCTTACCAATATTGCCGGTAATTCTTGGGCACGTACCCTTAGTGGTACACGAGCCGAGCGTAACGAGTACATTCTGCTCCATGAGTTCCACCGGAATAAGTATATCTGCCCTGATAAGTACTCTGCCAAGCTACAGAAAGCGGAAGAAAAACTACAGGATGGCGATGACGATGATGCCGCGGACAAGAAAAAGAAAGACAAGTACAAAGGCGGACTTGTTTTCGAACCTGAGAAAGGCCTCTATGATCGATTTGTTCTTGTGATGGACTTTAACAGTTTGTACCCGAGCATTATCCAAGAATACAACATCTGCTTCACGACGGTGGAACGGACTGCAACCGTAAGGGTCTTTGCTAAAAAGCCTTGTGCTAGTACATACTGACATGATATACAGGCTGAAAACGAGAATGAAGAGAAAGTGCCGGAAGTTCCTTCCTCGGATCAAGAGCAGGGAATCCTCCCACGGCTTATTGCTACACTTGTCGGCCGTCGACGAGAGGTGAAAAAGTTAATGAAAGACAAACGCGCAACACCTGAACAGCTTGCGCTGTGGGACACGAAGCAATTGGCTTTCAAGCTGACTGCTAACTCTATGTATGGATGCTTGGGTTACACTCAGAGTCGCTTCTATGCTCGTCCCCTAGCCATGCTCACCACTTTCAAGGGTCGTGAGATTTTAAGAAGCACAAAGGAACTGGCAGAATCGAAGCAGTTGAGAGTCATTTACGGTGATACCGACTCCGTCATGATTAACACAAACATGGATACACTAAGCGATGCCCTGAAGGTTGGAGATGAATTCAAGAAATCTGTGAATGAAAGATACCGGCTTCTGGAAATCGATATTGACAACATCTTCCGTCGGCTGCTGTTGCACGCCAAAAAGAAATACGCCGCTGTGAACATGACAGAGGTGGATGGCAAATATGTGGACAAGTTGGAAGTCAAGGGTTTGGATATGAAGAGGCGTGAATACTGCGCCCTGTCAAAGGAAGTGTCTCAGAGACTCCTGAATGAGGTTCTCTCCGGCGAAGACCAAGAGATCGTCCTCAATCGGGTCCATGACTATCTACGAGACTTAGCAGGCAAGATGCGAGAATTCGCCATTCCTGTTCAGAAATATGTGATTTACACTGTGCGTCATGCCCCCATAAGTTGAAGTGAGTGAGGTGCTAATGTTTCCGCAGAAACTCTCTAAACGACCGGAAGAATATCCTAACAAAGAGACGATGCCACCCGTTCAAGTTGCCCTCCGAGAGCTTGCCCGCGGCAAATCAGTCCGGCCGAACGATGTTATCTCGTACATTGTGACAAATGGAGATTCCGAAACATCCTCCCTTGTACCAGCGAAGCGCTCGTACACGCTTCAAGATGTGATGAAACCCGCTTCAGGACTCAACCCTGATATTGAATTCTACCTCTTGAAGCAGATTTTCCCTCCCATCGAGCGTCTCTGTGCTCCAATTCCTGGAACTGATGCGGTTCGACTGGCCGAATGCCTGGGCCTGGACGTCCGCAAGTATCAAATCAATACCTCTAGCGGTGGCAATCAGCAGAACACGGACATCTTCCCACTGGAGTCGCAAATTCCGGATTCTGTTCGCTTTGAAAATGCTGCAAGGATGACACTGACATGTCGGTTCTGTAAAGAGAAATCAGTCTTCGAAGGGCTTGCAGGATCCTCCCACATGTGCAACGCCAATGGTCTTTTCTGTCCGAATGACGCTTGCCAGAAACAGTTCACTGTTTTAACGATCATCGCACAGCTGGAAAGCCAGATTCGGGCCCAAACCTCCAAGTACTACGAGGGATGGCTTGTGTGTGACGACTCCGCATGCGGCAACCGAACGCGGCAGATGAGTGTTTATGGCCATAGGTGTCTGGGTCCCCGGGGCCACGCTGAAGGCTGTCTTGGCCGGATGTCTTACGAATACCCGGAGAAGCAACTGTACAACCAGTTACTGTACTTTGCTGGACTCTGGGATGTGGATAAGGCGCGGGTCGCCGCAGAGAAGGAAGCTAGTGGGGAGAAGAAGGATAGTGTCGTTGCTCTCGCTTCGTTTAACCGCGCACGGTTTGAGACGGTTAAAGGGGTAGTGGACGCGTATTTGAAGAAGTGCGGGCGGCAATGGGTTGAGATGGATAGTCTGTTCCGGTTTATGCTACCGTAGACTTGACGCATGGAATATTAATTGACTGGCATCTGTATATAGTCTGCATGTTTGGATGGTTCGGGTCTGTTCTTTCTATCACTGCGGATAGCGCAATTGGTTTTTATGTTTGGGATGATGGGATGAGGTTTATAAACATCAATGATACGTTCTGAAATGTCTAGCGTTCCACATGAGTATAAAGGCACGTAGTTTGATTCCAATATGTAAGTATCTTGCAGCCTCGTTCTTATCGTATCTGATGGGGGGGTTATGTTGGTATGGAACAAGTGATATCGAATGCCCCACACCCCGCCAAATAACTTCTTTGCCGCACTTCCGCCGGCTGTTAAACCAGTTACTAAAAAAGGACGACTGGTCCCGGCACATATTGATATCACCTCTGTCCATCTGCATCGGTGGATATTTTGTGAAATCACGGTGTAAACCGCTAATCTGCCATCATGTCGGTGAAACGTGTCTTGGTTATTGCAGGTTCTGACAGCTCAGGTGGCGCGTATGTTTAACTCATTCCGATCTCATGCATTACCGCGATCTATTTCCACTCCTCGAGGCGCAGCTAGACTAATGCATATTCAGTGGCCTGGAAGCGGACCAGCGGGTTCTAGCGGCGCATGGATGTTATGCACTAACTGCGACCACTGGACTGACAGCCCAGAACACTCTGGGTGTACAGGATATCTTCGTTGTCCCGGCTGAATTTGTTAAGAAGCAAATCAATGCCGGTCTTGAAGATATCGGAGCGGATGCTGTGAAGCTTGGTAAACACTATCTGATTCCTCTCTATCTCATTGTAGGTTCTAGTCTGACCAATTCAAGGGATGCTTTCGTCCGCAGAGACAATTGATATTATCGCCGAAACGCTGGTGACCCACCAAGTTCCGTCGGTGGTGTTGGATCCGGTAGCCCTGACTCAAAATTACCCGAAATACACTTAGCATCTAACATTTCAGCAGGTGATGGTCTCTACGAGTGGCTCTAAACTACTACCTGAAGCGGCCGTAGAAAAATTGCGGACGAAGCTTCTGCCACTGACGACCGTTCTTACTCCCAATATCCCCGAGGCGAAGCTGCTACTGAAGGACGCCGGTCTAGACGTACCCGAGCCAGAGGGCCTCTCAGATGTCCTTCAGTTAGTCAAGCAAGTTAAAGCTCTAGGCCCCAAAGCTGTTCTCCTCAAGGGTGGGCATTTACCTCTCACCAAAGATCATAAGACGGCGCGCAACCAAGAAGCGGCTACCACAGTTATAGATGTGCTTTACGATGGGGAAGATATAACACTCTTTGAGACAGAATTCTTATTATCTAAGAACACCCACGGCACCGGATGTTCTCTTGCATCTTCGATTGCAGCCAACCTTGCCTTAGGCAAAGATCTGAAGCGAGCAGTGCAGAGTGCGGTTCGGTTCGTCGAGGCGGGAATCAAGACCAGCTTTGATATTGGAAAGGGAAGTGGCCCAATTAACCATTTCCACTCGGTGTATACGCTACCTTTTGCGCCGTACGTTGCTATCTTATTCCCGGGAAGCATGAAAAGTGAGGGTGCTAATGGAGACACAAAGTGGTCGTTTCTTAGAATATGCCCTGGACCGCTCTGATATTCGCCCGGTGTGGCAGAAGTTTACCGAGCATGAATTTGTTTCGGGCATGGGTAGCGGCACACTTCCCGTGGAGAGATTCAAGGAGTACCTAGTGCAGGACTATCTGTATCTGGTAGGACCAATGTACTTTTCATTCGTCTTATAGATTTTGTCTAACAAGGTGATATACAGGTCCAATTCGCTCGAAGCAATGCGCTAGCAGCCTACAAGGCTAAGAATATGGAATCCATTGCTGCAGTAAGTGAACCAGTTACTGTTGCTTCTCTTGTGCAAGGCATTCAGCTGTTCGTGAGGGTTGACTTAGTTTGAACCACGATAGTCAGCGCAAATCGTCCTACACATCCAGCGCGAAACAGCGTTGCACTTAGATTACTGTGCCTCCTTCGGACTATCCAAAGAAGAGATGGAAAGAACACCCGAAACTATCGGTATGTTAACAAATCATTGCATAACCTGTGTAATGCTGCTAATCAGTCGTTCGTTGGGATAACAGCCTGTACTGCATACAGTAGGTACATTCTTGATGTTGGTCAATCCGAGGACTGGCTCGCGTTGCAAATGGCTCTTGCGCCCTGTTTAATTGGATACGGGGCCATTGCCCAGAGACTGTATAGGGACAAGGACACTCTGCGGCAGGGCAACCGCTACTGGAAGTGGATTGAAACTACGTTGCGGAGGACTACTCGGAGGCAGTTCGATTGGGATCTGGTAAGCGGCCCAGAAAGCCCGGAGTCACCACGTTCTCGCCATGACGATGAATTGCTAACTTGACTTTGTCGTAGAACTTCTTGAGAGACACATGCGCGAAGTTTCTCCGAGCCGATTGGAAGAGCTGATTAAGATCTTCATTCGGGCAACGGAGTTAGAGATCAGATTCTGGGACATGGGGTTGGGTGCTCGATAAAGAAAAAGAAGAAGGTCGAAGAAATGGATGTATAGTTACGGGGCAGGGTAGACAGATCCCATAATACCCATAATACTAGTACCCATTCAATTCCATTCAAACACAATCAACTCAGTTGGTCAGCGGGAGGCTCGATTAGGTTTAGTTCGGGATGGCGAAAAAGACACGAGATCCAAACAGTGCAAACAATGCTATACCCACTGGTCACGGGAGGCGGTGAGGGGAACGACAAGCGGTGAATGGACGGTGTAGGCCAAATTCTCGCATTTTGCCCATCTTTTGCCATTCTCATTCCTTGGGTCCAGTCTCCTGCACTAATCCAATCGGGAAAGCGTCGCCTTCGCCTCTTTTTCGCCTTCGACTTTTTTCTTCTCCTTCCCGCCCCATCGCGACTATTTTTTTTTCTTCCTCCCCCATCTCCCTTATCTATCTCCCCTTCCTCCTCATCCTTGTTTTCTTTCCCTTGGACATTCTTTCGTCCTCTACCCTCGGTCTTTATTCTGGAAGAGGCTATCCAACATCCACTTCCTTCATTCAACCCCATTCTTTTGAGTCTTGTGTTTTGTTCTATTTTCTCATCTCACACCCGCCAATAAAAAAGACCGCATAATGTCTTACAACGGTGGTGGCTATCAGCGCGACCAGCGCGACTCCTATCGGTAAGTGATTCTGTCCAGGAAAATTATCTCATGTGAGGCGATGTTGGAACCTTTCCTCTGTCAGTCCTGCGCGGGTGCTATAGTCACCGCACTGTCTTTGCAGCTCAGTCGCAAGGCCTGATGTATGGCAGAATACAACACATCCTCCTTTCCTTGGATTACTTCTTCGATGCAGTGAATTGCGTGTGCTAACGTGGGCATTTGCCATTCAGCTCTAGAAACGGTGGTGGTGGCGGCGGTGGATACTCGAATGGCTACTCCAACTCCAACTCCAACGGTTACTCTGGAGGTGGTGGCAGTGGTGGCTATGGAGGTGGTGGTTACGGTGGCGGTAGCTACGGCGGCGGCTATGGCGGAAGAGGTGGTGGCGGCGGTGGTGGTGACCGGATGTCCAACCTCGGCGCTGGGTTGAAGAAGCAAGAATGGGGTATGTGTTTGTTCTTCTGCAACGCGCGATCGTCAGAATTATGATGCTAACTTTTATCCTAGACTTGGATTCTTTACCCAAGTTTGAGAAGTCTTTCTACAAGGAGCACCCCGATGTCGCCAGCCGGTCTCAGCGCGATGTTGACGATTTCCGTAAGAAGTTTGAGATGTCTGTGCAAGGAAAAAACATTCCTCGTCCCGTCGAGACCTTCGATGAGGCTGGCTTCCCCCAATACGTGTTGAGCGAGGTTAAGGCTCAGGGTTTCGAACGCCCTACCGCCATTCAGTCCCAGGGATGGCCCATGGCTCTTTCTGGCCGTGATGTTGTTGGTATCGCCGAGACCGGTTCCGGAAAGACTCTGTCCTACTGTCTTCCTGCTATTGTCCACATCAACGCTCAGCCCCTTCTTGCTCCTGGTGACGGCCCTATTGTTCTCGTCCTCGCCCCTACCCGTGAATTGGCAGTCCAGATCCAGACCGAAATCACCAAGTTCGGAAAGTCCTCTCGCATTCGCAACACCTGTGTTTACGGTGGTGTCCCCAAGGGCCCCCAGATCCGTGACTTGAGCCGTGGTGTCGAAGTCTGCATTGCTACTCCTGGTCGTCTCATTGACATGCTCGAGGCCGGCCGCACCAACCTCCGCCGTGTCACTTATCTTGTTCTTGACGAGGCCGACCGCATGCTGGACATGGGTTTCGAGCCCCAGATCCGCAAGATCATCTCTCAGATTCGCCCTGACCGTCAGACTTGCATGTGGTCCGCCACATGGCCCAAGGAAGTTCGCCAGCTTGCTTCTGATTTCCTCAACGATTACATCCAAGTCAACATCGGTTCCATGGACTTGTCCGCTAACCACCGTATCACGCAAATCGTCGAAGTCGTGTCAGACTTTGAGAAGCGCGATAAGATGATCAAGCACCTTGAGAAGATTATGGAGAACCGCGGCAACAAGTGTCTTATTTTCACTGGAACTAAGCGTATCGCCGACGAGATCACTCGCTTCCTTCGTCAGGACGGATGGCCAGCACTTTGTATGTTTCCCTTCCATCTGCCTTAATGCAAGACTTTGCTAACTCTTGGAACAGCTATTCACGGTGATAAGCAACAACAAGAAAGAGATTGGGTCTTGAACGAGTTCAAGACGGGCAAGAGCCCAATCATGGTGGCTACTGATGTGGCTTCCCGTGGTATCGGTATGATGAACTTGCGATTTACCCCCTTCCCCTCCCCTTTTTCCCTTCCTTCCTTGAAAGCACCCTCACCCGTATTGAGGTTGTGTGACCATGGCACGGTGCTTAACTCTCTTCCAACATGTGTTGGCGTATATGACTCGTCCAGGCTTTGTCGGGTCTCCTGAATTGGTTCTCATGCCAGGAGGACCTTGGACTCACAGTGCAGTGTAGCAGACGTATTATTTCTTCTGTTCTGATTCTCCATCTCTTCTCTGAACCTCGTTGGTCGAGAGACGGGGTTTCTTCTTGTTCCGACATGTTCAAGCTGCATTCCAAGGTTGCTCCAAGACCGCGATTTTGACCAGCCCAGGGACCTAACCCGCAACGGATCTTACTTTGAAAAGTCCGAGAGAGAGTGATGCATCAAGTCTCACACGACTGATAAAGGGCTCATAGGCCACCTTGCTATTTTGACTAATGCTCTGTTTGCTAACATAAGTTTGTGTTTTGAAGATGTTCGCGACATTACTCATGTTCTGAACTATGACTACCCCAACAACTCGGAAGACTATGTTCACCGTATTGGTCGAACTGGTCGTGCCGGTGCCAAGGGTACCGCCATCACTTTCTTCACCACTGACAGTAAGTCCCCGATGGGCTCTCCTCCCATGGCTGGCAATGCTAACGTATCTCGCACCAGACTCTAAGCAGGCTCGTGACTTGGTCACTATCCTTACTGAGGCTAAGCAGCAGATTGACCCCCGTCTCGCCGAGATGGTTCGCTACAGTGGTGGCGGCGGCGGCGGCCGTGGCGGCTATGGCCGCTGGGGTGGCCGTGGTGGTGGTGGTCGTGGCCGTGGCGGCAACTACACTGCTTCCAATGCCGCTCCCCTCGGAGGCAACCGCCGTTGGTAAACTGCTCGTAATGCCCAGTTCAGTCATTGAGCTTGTATTCCCATGTCGCATCGGTAGATCTTGCTTTCCTTCGCATTCGGTATCCATTGTAACTCTTTACGGGCGGCGTTCGTCGAAGTCACGATAGACTATTATGCGGTTTTTGTTTTCTTTCGTTTCTCCGTTTACAGGTTCCTTCGAACTCATGCGGATACGGGTTAATTCTGGTTTCGTTGCCCCTTACGTATCTTAAAAAGTTGTGTATCTCCTAGCGCATATTGAGAAGAGCTGAGGTTAGATAGTCTAGTCTCATGCAATGTATTTATCTGCTTATGACTATCAAATATACGCTTGACTTGCGTTATCATTCTGTTCCTCGTACAGGTACTCCGGTCGTAATATCCTGTCGGAGAAGCAGAGCACCGTAGAAGCCGGGCAAGCTGCATGTATGCTTCCTGATATACCGCCTAGTTGTCTTTCTTCACAATCTGAAAAACTTCAAAAGGATCTCTATGGTGTCATGATCATTACGATATCAGAGTGTGCAACAAGAGAGACTTCAATGTCTGCCCGATCAACCCCACACCCTCGGTCCTACTCTCTACTCAAAAGCGATAGTTGACTGCAACCTCGGCTATCCTGGATTACAATATAGTTCAAACCCACCACCAGGCAAAGAGATTGAGCTATCATTTGTGATCATCAAGCTCTGATCTAAATACCTAAGTGGGCGTAATTGTGACAAACACCCAGAAAGCAATGGACAAGGTGGACAAGATTCTGGACCAATTCACCGACCCCTTGACTGGGTCGGTGCATGGCGCCGTTTTCATCGCTATTGACAGTTCAGGTACCGTATTATTTGTGATTTGCGTATTGCATTTTTTTCGGTCTGCCCATCGTTACATATATGCCCATTCTGACGGCTATTGGCAGGGGATGTCATCTACCATCGTGCTGCCGGCAAAGCAGACCTTGATGATGAAAGGGCAGCTGCTTTGCAAACCGATTCTCTATACTGGATTGCTTCCATGACAAAGCTTGTGACCGCAGTGGCTGTAATGCAACTTGTGGAGCGAGGCATGGTATCACTTGAAGATGATGTCCGGGCAATAGTCCCCGAGCTCCGCGATATACAAATTTTAAGAGATATGAGGAACGGTGTGTGTATACATGACATAGAACTATTGATTATATACACTCAATCGCTGATCTTATATTCCCAATCTGCAGACAAGGGACTCTCGCTAGAGTTGAGCCAACCACATCTGAAGCCCGTTCAAGGAAAGATAACTCTCCGGTAAGCATTACCCACCATAAGAAGTGGTCATGACTTTTCCGGGATTTAAGTTGGGCCCCTTAATCTAACATATTCCATATAGAAGTCTCCTGTGCCATACAGCTGGCTTCGTGTATGACAGCTCATCGCCGCTGCTGCAACAGTGGTCCAAATCCCAGGGTCGAACAGCATACACGTTTTGTGGCAGCATGGCAAGTCCCCCTTAACGCTGTATCCCGAAGCAATACAGAACACCTCTAACTAATACACCTGCAGTTCATCCCAGCAGGCTGGCTACCAACACCCACTACTTTTTGAACCCGACACCTCTTGGGGATATGGGGCTGGTTTAGATTGGGCTGGTCGAGTGGTGAGCCTCTCTGTATTCCGCCTTATATCGTCGCCGCATCTACATTCGCTCAGAGACTAATCATACGTAGATTGAATGCGTGACAAAGTCTACTCTCGAAGATTATATGCGGACGCATATCTGGTCTAAGCTTGGTGCCGTGTCAACAACCTTCCACCCAGAACTGTACCGCGAGACGCTTCCACCACAAATGGGAATGGGATATCGCGTGAGCGTTGGCCAGGGCGCCAAGTCTCTGAAGCCGGGGCCTATCATCCTCAAACAGCCAGCGCAGGATGACCTTGGGGGTATAGGGCTCTTCAGCACGCCGATGGATTTTGTCAAGTTACTATCTGCGCTTCTGGGTGGTGGATCCCCACTGCTCACCCGAGAAAGTGTCGATATTCTACTGCAGCCACAGCTCAGTGATGCATCTCGTGAAGCAATGCCGAGACCTCTTGGAGCTCAGATGAGACGGGTGTTAGGCATCAAAGACGTTGGCGACACCCAACAGGCAGATCATTCTCTTGCTGGGACAGTCATATTGAAGGATATTGCTGGTCGGAGGCGAGCTGGTACGGCCAACTGGAGCGGGCTACCGAACTTGCACTGGGTAAGTTTAAGTCACGAAAGACTTTGCATATTGAGCTTGGGATTTCTTTGCTAATCACGTTTGATTGACTACAGTGGATCGATCGGCAAACGGGCATCGCAGCTACGTTGTTTACGCAAGTTATGCCACCGGGAGATGCTGCTATGACTAGCCTTCTTATTGATCTAGAAGAGAGTCTTTATGCAGCGTTGGAAGAGGGTGCTGCGCATATGGATATTCCTGTGAAGCTATAGACAATAGGCGTCGCAGCTGATTCTGTTTGATGGGAGGCGCCACATATTCTACATTCTCTATACACACAAGACACTGTGCAAGAAATGAGAAGACATACGTTGCTCTAAAATTTTGCCTTATGGTTACATCTACTATGACCGTCTTGTAGATACAGTCTGCTGTATCGCAGACTAAACCAACCAAACGGTCAACATGGTTTCTTTACCCACGCAGACCACTTTTATTTCCACGTAGTGCTATGAATGTACTCTGTAAGAACCCCAAAGCGAAGCAAATTCCATTAGATCATAATCATAATTATATATATAAGTTATAAGACTATACATCGCTTGTACATCAAATCATATCAAATAGTAATCGTATCCAGTCTGCCCGGCTGATTCCAAGTCCAACACACACACACATCTTCCGAGTCACATTCACATAAGAAAAGGGTAAAAAAAAAAAACAAAGAGAATCATGCAAGTCCGTCCACCTCCCTTGCTTCTGGGCTTAGGCAAGGGGACACTGGACGATATAGCTGCCGTACACCTCGTCACCGGAAAGGCAGGTCTTCTCCTTCACGTCGTGGCGATTGAGGTTGCAGGTGACGTCATTGTAAACGGCCACTGAGGGGATTCATGTTAGATTACATTGAACCAAAAAGCAGGGCTGGGGGATAGCTTACGAGTACAGTTTTTCTGGTAGTTGAACTCGAAGCTCACGGACTTGACGGCCGTGGTGTCGGGGAAGGTCTGGCACTGGTTGACGTGGTCGCCGTACACTCCAAGCTCGCCCTGGTTTAGGGCCGAGCAGCCGGATTCGCCGTAGAGGCGGAGCTGGACAATACGGGTGTTGGCGGGGGGTGTAGGAGCTGCGGAGACGCCCATACCCAGAGCGATGGTGGAGGCAAGGATGGTGGTGAAGAGCATTTTTGAGGGTTGTTTTGTGGTGGTGGTGGTGGTGGTGGTGGTGAGTAGTAGTAGTAGTAGTAGTAGTAGTAGTAGTAGTGGTAGTAGTAGTTATTATTGTTGTTGTTGTGAGGTGGTGGTGGTGGTTGTGTGAGTTTTGTTGCGAGGTGGTTGGGGTCTTTTGGGGGGTTGGGGTTGGGGTTGTGTTGGTAGACCGTAGTTTGTGGGGTTGCGTTGTGATCGTCGACGGAAGACTGATGATCGTCGCCGGGATCAAGCTTGGGTTAAATAGTTTTGGGATGGACAGTCCAACTGTAGATCTACATGGAGAATCTCCTCCGTAGTGGAGTGTTAAAATTCTATAATTGTATACTAGCAGGCAGTGCATGTTCCCTAAAATCTGACAACCGTATTAATAGTAAAATGTACGGGATGCGGGCGCAGACGCATGTTTCACTGACTCCGCCTCTTCCGTGTGCATAACTACGGTGGAGTGACTCGACATAGGAACAATAGCTTGTGTCTAATGTTGAGACTCTTGAGAGCCATACACCAAGCTTTCGCGGCAAGCTTGATATGCATGGTGAGATAGAGACTTGGCGGTTAATCAGGGTCTTCTTTAGCGCATTCTTGGTGCTGGCTGTCGACTCCGCGGTCTTCAGTCCATCATGGTCCACGGGACTCACTTGGAGAGACATTTTTCTATAAATATGGCTTGGGAATTGCATTATTGGAGCCGAATAGGTTATCTCCACAGTTTACGTGGCACGCCTCGAGTTCTAGACTTCGATCGTCAAATAAAGACGGGCGCCTGATCGTCTGGAAGCCTGAAATGAGGTCTCGCATTCTATATATACATGTATGAAAATATGCAATCTATGTGTCAGGATTCACTAATTGGCCGTTTTTAGCTTTCAATCTATCTCCGATTGGAAAGCCCCGCTTGTTGATGCGATGTATTGATTGTCATATACGTCCCGATATCAAGTGACCCCTTTTGTACAAGAGACACTCGCTTTTGTACATCTCTCGACAACTGAACCCGTGATAATATTTTGAGACATATCTTCCTGAACAGCCGAGCCGTGATTCTATCTCCAGACATTGCACCGGTGCCTCACTCCCTCACCCACTCAATGACCCGTCTCAGCACCTTGACGCCATCCGTTGGCTGATCGAGCTTTTTCAGATGATCCTCTAGTTCCTCCGGAGAGAGGTTACCATTGTAAACATCGTCCTCTTCCAACAACAGTTTCTTGGCGAGTGTGGCCGGGACCTCCGGATGTGATTGGAACGACAAGACCGTATTCTCTTGATTCACGAACATTTCATGGTTCTCAGCTAAGTGAACAAAGCCCAATCCGGGCTTTTCCACCTCTCGTACATGGAACTCTGGCAATTTCTTGGGGGGGGTTCATTAACAGGAAACTCGAGGGAAGGGGAAATCAACGGCAAAACGCACATAAGAGTGAACGCCTGCGGCACAAGCGAAGAATTTCTTCCCGGCTTCTGTCAACTTTACGTCTTCAACGCCAGCCTGGAATCTAGTATGAGCTTACGGGGCGTCAGTAACCAGATAAATGTACTTACGATTGGTCCCGTAGGCACAGCTCGCACCTCTCCACCAAATGCCCTCGAAATAGCCTGGTGGCCCCAGCAGATCCCAAGAATCTTGGTCTTAGGTGACTCTTGCGCTGTTTTACGCAGGAATTCTAACACACCCAGGACCCAGGGCTCAGAAGACGAGGCATCCGCTTTGCCTCCGCTCAGGACGATCAGGTCGTATTCTTGGGGATTAGGGAAGCTGCCCTGGAAGACAGGGTCGTACATGTCGATTTGGGAGTCGGGTGCAGCGGTTTCAAAGGCAGCACGATATGAGTCCCTGACATCATTCCAAAAGTCATTATTAGGGGGCGTGTTGACGAGGACGGCGATCCGCAGTGGTTCTGGGCTGCTCATTGTGCTGGATGATTCTTGGATAAATGGATTGGGTATAATGGGAGGGAGATACGTATCGGGCTGATTGTATTGTCGGAGTACTCAGATGGTGCTTATGCATACTTATATAGATCATTCTCTATTCTCTCATGTTGCTTAACTGGCCTTCTATTCGATTCGATTCTACATAGGGACGGAATAAAGGCAGATCGTTCATGCTATTGGGGCATCGCAATTGCACACCGTTTATGGTAAGATCGGTCTACCAGGGGCAGAGAATGTCCTTCAGGCACTGTTGGCCCTGGAGCTTTTAGTCAAGACTTATGGTAATGGACCCCCAAGGAAGATGATTCAAATAGTGACCCTATCCACATAGTACCAAGTGGATAGGGCGATATATCACGCTAATCCAGATTGAGTGACCAAATACCAAAGTGGGTCTCAACTATACCAATCATGCGTTGGAAGGAGTCCCGCAATTTACCGAATCGGGTGAGCAAGAACGATGGGCCAATGAGAGGATAGCCCAAGTATACCTGAGCAATCAGGAATCAAAATCTCTATCATCAGCGTGAAAAAACGTCTCTTCTTACCAATCGTATTCTTCTCATATCTGGCCAACCATCGACAAAGGAATCATCAATTGCATGTGTTGACTCACTAGCGAGAGATTTCAGACCCGCTTCTATGACTCGATCCGCCGCTCTGGGCCCTGACTATGGCCAACGCAGGAACGGACTGAGAAACAGTGACCAGACTCCAGTCCCCGTCAAGGGTATACATACCCAGTTCAATCTCGAACATCGTTTCTTTCTCAGACCTCCTCCAATATATCCCCTCGAGATCTAACCATGTTCCTTCCAAGTGTACACGCCGAATCCGACACGGACGTTCTCCTCAAATTCATCCAAGAGAACCCCCTAGGAATCCTCATCACAGGCATCAACTCCTCCGCCCAGGACTTCCTCCAATGCACTCATGTCCCATTTGTGCTTGACTTCCCCAGCACAGGGGATAACATTTCAACCACCCCCCAACTTCGTGCCCACATCGCGAAGCAGAATCCCCAAGCGAAGGCCATGATCGAGGCAGTCGACGGCAAGCCACCGGGGGTTCTCTCCCTTGACCAGGATGTCCTAGTAGTCTTCAACGGACAACATGATCACTACGTGACTCCCAAATACTACACCGAGACCAAGCCGGACACCGGCAAAGTTGTGCCCACCTGGAACTACTGCGCAGTTCAGGCCTATGGGAAGTTGTCGCTCTACTACGATTCCAAGACTCCTGAGGCAGGGTCCTTCCTGGCGAAACAGATGCATGACCTGTCGGAGCAATGTGAGAGAACGATTATGGGGTTTACGGGTGGGGATAGGCCGCAGCCGTGGAAGGTTGCTGATGCTCCGGAGCGGTACATTGAGTTGATGCAGCGGAATGTTGTGGGGATCAAGATTGAGATTGGCAGGCTTGAGGGCAAGTTCAAGATGAGCCAGGAGATGAAACGGGGAGATCGAGATGGTGTAGTCAGGGGATTTGCAAACTTGGGAGGGGAAACTGGAGAGGCCATCTCAGCGTTGGTCAGGGAGCGAGGGGAGCTGCATGATATGAAGAAGGAGAAGCTGAAAGCTGCGAAGGAAGGATAGTTTTCTATACGAAGTTAGTCATTTCAACGGACTTGGATGGACAAGTCTAAAGTGTCTTGTTGAATGAGGGCACAACTAGCATGGTTAGGTTGCCTCCGATTCCTCTGTCCATACTCACTATCAGCATAGAATGTCCATATTAAACAATCACCTCTTCATTTATTCATCTACCGTACGAAGACTCTTGCTTCTCTGTTGGAAGCCGAATCGAGTGGTGGCCATTCTAGAGGCCTTCCTAATCAGGATTAGCTTTGGGGCTGTGGGATAAATTACTAGAGACTGCCAGCTCAAGAAACTAGCAGAATACTTGCGTCGTGAAAGAATCACATAATCTTTTATCACATCACCTAAATTATCAAGATTATTTAAATAGATTATACTACACTATCTAAATTACTTATCTAAACGGAACTCCTTCGTTCCTATCACATCAACAGATGGTTCAATACTTTTCCGTCTCCTCCACCGAGGGATCCTCCCCCCCCTTCTTGAGCTCATACAAGAGCTTTCCCCAATTTATATCTTCCACGGCGTGGGACGCATTAGTGAGTCTCTGAATCTGAATGATTTAACCCGCTCTAACTGTTGAACGTTAGGCCCAGCAATGGTGACGCGTGCAGCCTACGGGGGTAAATTGAAATTGCTTTGCATGAAACATCTCTTCATCTGTAGGTTTACTGACTGGCCTTTTGATGTCGAGAGGAGTGTCATTGCGGGATTCCACAACTCTGCCATGTATACTGTCACAAATTCATGCAAGGAAACGCTGTATGATACGCAGTTGGCTGAGGAATAAACCGTTTGCTCTCGTTGCTGCTGTGGCTAATACCGTGGAGAGCCTTAGTGAACATTGGTATGGTATGGAGGACGAGGTCAGTACCGAGGTCGAAAAGCAGGCTGATGAGAAGGTTAAACAGAGTGGATGAGAAACGTTTTTGATCCGTCGAGAGCCTAGCGTCTTTTAGCTCTATTTATTTGTTGACCATTTGTGCTTGTTTGGTTACCGTTGCAGAGGCATTGTTTTTGGCCCATATTAAATTAGACCTGGCCAGTTCATCACAGCGTAGTGGGCTATATTGTTGATCTACCGAATGTCATGGCTTTTACCGCACCAATGTAAATTGGTCAATAACAGCCTACGTTTCGAAAGTAAATAGACCGTTTTCTTGCCCAGAAGTAGGCACTGCCCACCATTCCCATAGGTATAAATAGCGCATGATGGAGTCCGAGATACCGAAAGACGGATTATTGAATCCTGCCTACCTTGAATAGTAAGAGATGCAGCAAAAGCTATTCAGTGGCTTGTGGTAACGCGAGAAGGGACCGCAAGTCAGGATCCGATACAAGCACAGAAACCGTTTTCAGATTCCGATAGCTCCAGGCACCTTGAGCTCATTAGAACTGTTGTTGTGAGTGTCCACTTCATAAAACTGCTCCTCTGAATCTACCCTGTTCCGTGACAGTAATAGCACCCCATTGTTCCTCAGTTAGACGAACTGTAACATATCGCCACTAGCCAGGATACCGTAGACGTCGGCATGTTGCTTCTCCCGTGGCGTGTGTAGGTACCTAAGCTGGATGATCCTCTTGAAAAACAAAGGCCATCAGGGATGACTGCTAGGAAATGTCCGATATCAAACAACAAACCCTGAAGTTGTCTGCAGATTACCCACTCCCGGGAAATCTTACAGAGTAAACGCATGGGCGTTTTGTTCGGGGTCAATCGACAAACTACATGTGTCTGAAGCTCCAGCACACATATAGATAATACTATGTTCCCTGGAGCCGTTCAAGGGATCATGGCCATTCCTGCAAGAATGCGCCTAGGCAAGCTGCCGCTGTAGTAGCAGCATAGTTCTGGAAATATTTATTTTTGTGACTATCCGCATAGTCACAAACGCCCTTGATAACCAGACAGGGTAAACAGTCCCAGATCCCTGAAGCCTCCATCTCGAAAGCAACAAGATTATGCATGGCGGCAGTTGTATTGCGATGCTCTCCGGACTTCATGACAGTGTCTCCAGATCCGACCAATCCAAAGTGGATCTTGGGTTTTGGGGGAGAAGTGCTCGAGGCTTGGAGTCGCGTTCTATGGACGAGGAATTTACTGCGGCATCCTAGCTCCTGGCATGACATCGCCCGTGTTTCATTGCACACTGGGTCTGTGCTAACTCGATAGGCACTGCATACCGTGCAGCGGGCCGAGCCGTGGTGCTTGTGACGGTACTCGGGCTGGTAAAGACAATCTTTCTCGACTCCTGGATAGCCAGCTCTTCGACTCCCTAGCTTTCCATGTATGATTTGAAACTGGGTGAGGAGTCTCGCTTCAAGGCGCTCTCGAGCACGTAAGCCTTTCAGTTTGGCGAGTTTTGCCCGAATCCTCTGAGGAGGTAGATTCATGGCTTGCGCGCCTGGCTTGCTCGTAAAGACATCCGGGTACTGGCTGCCTAAGTCATACTGCACGATACCTTCACTAATCACAACATCGCCCAGAATCAGTTCTTCGTTCCCCCGAGTAGGAACACCACCGCAAACGCCAACAACCAGAGCGAGCTCGATGCTAGGAAAGGTGGACCGGAGATTAGAAACCGCCTGGGATGCAGCACCTTTTCCCATCCCCGGCATGTGAACTAGAACAACGTTATGTGACATGATTTTCCCAAGTGTATATTCATTGCTATCGGCTGGGGCCTTGCTAGACTTGATGTTATCCTCAGGCCAGACCTCTTGGAGAAGCTCACGGATAGCATCTGCTTCCAAGGGCAGTGCACAGAATATGGCAACTGTGAACTGGTTGAGGTCGACCAGGACTGAGAACATGGAGTGGTGTTCATGAGGGGTTTGAGTGGATTCTGTTTGCTCTACATCGCCCTCAATCTCCCAGTCGTCCCGATATGCATGGTATAGATCACGTAGTGGTTTCACAATTTTATCATAGATTATTGATAGTCGGGTGTCCAAGTTCGATTCAGGGATTGCCGTGTCAAGGGGGGCATCCTGAAACAAGTCAGGATCAAGGCAGTTGTTCACAACTCTTTCATAGATCTCCCCCACATTGAGTTTGAGTGCACACTGGTTTGCCGTTGTCCACGCCCATTCATAGTAGTCATTTATCATGGTCGCGCTCCAGGGGCAATCTAAACTTTGTGACCTAAACGGGTGCTGGGTTGCTATCTGAAGGAGTATGATTGCCAGTGCAAGGACGTTCGGATACATATGCAAGAGGTCGTCTGCGGTACAGAAATCTCGTATCTGGTCTGCGTGTTTACTGAGCTCAGCCATGAAATAAGGATGTGGGCGGACATGACTGGGTTCGATAGCTAATTCCTTGATTAGGTGGATGTTTTCCAGGGTCCAGGGCGTTGCCATCCATGACGAACTGTAATATTGCCACACAGACCTCGCGATGGTATAGGCCAATGTGACTTTCACCCTCTTTGAAAGGTGTACTGGTCCCTCCAGCCAGTCCACCATTGGCACGCTCTTAGTTGGAAAGGTCTTTCGCAGTGTGCGCTCACTGACAATCTCATCAATCTTCATCGAATTGTTCCAAACCTGTAAGCAAATGCGACTGTCCGCTTGCGCATCAATCATCCTGCAGAATTCGCCCAGTTTGATGTTTCGCAGGGAGCCCAGGGATGGCGAGTGGCTAGGCAGTTTATGAGATACACCGGTATTTTGGTCTTCGAACGCAACTCGTCTCTTGCTCACTGGCCTGGTTTGCGGTGGGAACAAGAAACCTACTGTTAATTTCATTGTCGCCAACCAGAATGGTCAGGTCTTACCTTGCAACTGATACTGCAACCTCTTTCCACCGCGCGTTCCCCTGCCGCCTTGAGCCTTGAGGAGTAGTATTGCGGTTATGATCTGAACTAGCCTTGAGCATGATATTAAACATTATTTTTTCCTGTCCCGAGCCACATTTATCGGGGCTCAGGCGAAGTCGCACATGGTGAAGATGTTGGACAAAGCATGAGCACTTCGAGTGCAGCCGAAGCTGGCCGTACAGGGTATTGTTGATCAGAGCCGGATATCCAGTTTCGTCTTCACCAGAGTTTGCTTCGTTATCCGCCAGGATAGTGGCCAACTCTCCAGGTTGGTCCGCGCAAGTGTAATCCTGCAAGAGCCGGAGGAGCACTGGAAACTCGGGGTTCTTCAAGACAAAGTGCGAAAGAGCATTGTGGATATCATGAATAAGATACTTCTCGGTGAGCGTATTCGAGTGTTTGCATTGCAGTATGCGCTGAAGGGCATGAAGCGAGAGGCCCGCGCCGTCAACCGTTTTCGGCGTCGAGACCTACAAGTCGCGCGCACCAGCTCTCAGCTATGAGATCGCCTTCGGAGACAGTTCAGATCGTATGTATAGGCACGTACACTACAGGCTCTATTCACAATCTCTGCAATTTTCAACAACTTGGAGTCGATGATTGTCTGACCAGAAAATGCGAGGTGCTGTGTGAATATGAACAGCTCACCACCAAGCTGGCCAAACCGGTTATCTCGTTTTGTGAGACCAAGAGTTGTCGCTTGGTCACTTATCCAGGGGAACGCGTCCCAGCAGGATTCAATAATGTCCCCCATCCTTCTATGGATGTTGCCACTCCTGAAGAAGGTGAGATGGTGCGCGCATTGATGGTTCAGCCTCGTCTGCGGAGGGGTTCGCAACGATGCATCCATGCAGCTCATTAGCGCGCTTACATAAGAAGAAACACCACCCAGGCTAAACAACTGTGGTGGAGGGGTGATTCGGACAAGACGGAGGGGGGTAAGCAACTTGACAATGTCAGAGTATGCTTCGGCCACGACGGCGGGAACCATGACCGGCGCCAGCACCAGTATATCCCATGCCACAATCGCTTGTCGCCAGACATTCAGCGCGGCCACCAGGGCACCTCGACTCATGGAAGGCGAATGGGCAGAGAACCGAATGGCGGACTTCAATCTCTGGGCGGCCGGTGCTGGCGCCTCGGCGACAGGTAAAGCCTCGCTCGATTATCGACTGCGGGCCAAACCCCAGGCGCTGAGGATCGTCACCAACCTTCTCTTGATCCTCAAAGCGCTCGTTGAAGATTGTATTGCCGATTCTACGCGTATGATCGTTTTCGTTCTCGAGTGTTTGCCCCTGCTAATTCTGCCTACAGCTTCTCAGGTCGCGACTACCACTCCCAGTCGTTGTGAGAATCCCCCCCACAACCAAAGGGACCGGATGAAGGAGGTTGAAGGGAACCTGAACCAGTTAGTTAGGCTTACTGTCGCAATACGAAAAGCCGGAACCCAGTCTAGGCTTCAAAAGGCAGATAGTTCCTTCAACCCTAGTCATCCGCAGATTCTCGCCCTGCGTCTCCATCTCATGGCTATTATTTTGTTACGTCCAGACGAGTATGGCAGCTCCGACTCAAGCATGAAGATGCTCAGGGAAGACCGGATGAATAAAGCGGCCCTGGATCCTATTCAGTTACGTCTGATTGATGCTAACCTACGGAGGCGGGGCCGCTTTCTTTATGCGCAAAAGCATGCTCGAAAATTGGGCCTTGGTTCACATATAGGAGATTGTGTACCGCCACTCCAAATTTCTGGACAGGAGAATCAAGGACCACGTTCCCATGTTTCTCTGACCATCAGGGCTCCCAAGATGACGGCCCCAGATCCTGGGAATGACGAGCCAGCGCAAAGTACAACAACCGCAACAGCAGTAGACACCCCGTTAGAACTCACCCAGAAACAAGAAGTCAAAACTCCTACAACAGTTATATCCATCACTAGTTCTCAGATACGCTATCCCAGACCGCCTCCAATCTCAGATGCCCAAACGGTGTTCACTTGCCCCTGCTGCTGCCAATCCATTCCGGTATTAATAAGCCGTGGCAATAAGTGGAAGTAAGTCATCTGCGCATAAGAAGATGGCAAAACTGATCTGATGGAAGGAAGCATCTGATGGCCGACATTCTACCCTATACGTGCATCCTGCCCGACTGCCCTCGACCCGAGGCTTTCTATATGACGCGAGAAGCATGGACCAGCCACATGGAGAAAGAGCACGACAGTACTTCCCAATGGATTTGCCATTCATGTAAACAAAAAGACATTCATACCATATTCAGAGACCCGTCCGCTTTCAGGATGCACCTCGAAGATCAACATGGCAGAGGCATTAAGCCGCACAGGATACCAATGCTACTCACAGCGTGGCGGCGAAAGGTTCCCTGGGAGTTAACGCATTGCCCCTTGTGTGGGTTTGCAAATGATGATCATGATCTGGTGCTTGATCATTCTGCTGCGCACGTGCACTCCTTCTCGCTAAGGTCAATTCCTTGGGGGGCTAGTGACATATTGGAGGATGGAGACTGTGACGACGATGATGATGGAAACTACTTCAACAAGTACCCATACTTCAACATTGAAAACTCCTGCTCTGACTCTTCATCAAATGCACCTGGAACTGGGTCTAGTGATGCAAGCTCGCAAGGCCTCCCAGACTTAGACTTCGAGCAGCCAAAGAACGTACCCCATGACGGAAAGGTGCAGCTAACAGTGTCATCTGTCGAGCAAGTCGCAGGTGAACTAAGAGGTCCAGAAATTGCAAAAAGCTGGCTCGCAATGCTTGACGTCAATACCACTGGCACTAACCAAGACGTCAGTCAGGACGACACCGCAGAGACCTCTCCCGAAATCACTCCGTCTTTCAGACCCCAGAATCCTTTTAGAGTGCCTCAAGAACCTGATATAGCCCCAGCTCAGACAGAACGCCACTTGTTTGGCTTTGATGGCCATATTCCCAACATGTTTTCACCGCCGCCAAACCACAGGGGCCAGAGCCATGCAGTTAACGAACTAAAGCTTAAAGGTGAAGCGCAATTTAATAATGTGGAAGCGGAGGAAGAAGGCTTAGGACTTTCCATACTAAAGTCTCAAACCCGCTTTCGGGGCTGGAACACCAAAGATTTCCAGCCTCCCAGTACGCTACTAACACCAGCTATTGAAGACAAGGGGGAATATCATATCTTTTCCAGGGCTTTAGACGGGAAACGTGCTAGCTGAGGGATCTGCTATTGAGGGAGGCGCCCGACCTCTCTACCAAACGATCAAACGAGGCCTTTAAGCTCTCCATACACCCTTCATTGCCTAGGCCCTAGGGCCGCAAAGCTGAGGCCAAACTCTTAATTACCACTTAGGAACCGGTAGATCAGCATTCTCCGTCAGGAGCTATTCTTTGTGACAAGCAAAGATCAACAATATGACCTGGAGTCGATCCTTTTAAGTGAGGGCCATGAACGGCAACGCGGCTTAACTCTTCCGAAGCAGCGATGCTCTATACTTTTAGATATAACTAATAATACAGTAATAAAATCTGTTTCAAAATAAGAAATCTAGAGTTGAAAACAGCAGATTTGTGATCACCAAAGAAAAGAAAAGAAGGCCTGCCCCTGATTGGTCTATAAATTTACATAATGTAGAACTAAGCCTAATACAGACCTTTGCCTTGTCAGCCTGAGGCCCTGCAGAAGGTCTGAAGCCCTGCTGCGATAAGGTTGCCACTGACTCATGGGTTCCGACAGCATCAGAAGATAAAACCACCACAAGTATTATGCCACATGTACAAACCTGCGCCGCCTAGACCACGAAAGACAAACATCATACGTTCGCGCAATGGCTGTAAGAGCTGTCGCAATCGAAGAACAAAGGTTGAAGTGCTGCATAGAATCGCGATTATCATGGCGCTAACATTGCGTAAAGTGTGACGAGCAGAAGCCAACATGCGGAACCTGCGCGAGACTGGACAAGCGCTGTGAATATGCCCAACCTGTGCTCAAATTTCAGATCATGACGGTGCAGGATTCAAACAGACTATCATCGTCGTATGACCCTCCGTCCACAGAGAGGAAGCAATGGTTAGCTAGGAACGAGAGGCTTGCTATCCAAGCCAATCAAGGTGCCCCCCAGATAGGAATCACTGGTATTACCAAATCATTGCAGTTGACAGAGAGAGATGTCTTCTATTCCACGTATTGGGAGGATTGCTGCTTACCGGCCTTACACCCAATGTTCCACTCTGTCACTCTGTTGACCGCCAATTATCCTATCCTCAACGATGCTATCCTGGCTCTGTCCTCCTGCAACATCAGCCGTCTCTATAGTGAACGCAAAACATCTTCCGCCGGACTGATGGGACCGTTGAGTCCCAGTCTCATCCATCAAACAAGAAGTCATTTGTACTACTCGTCGGCGATCAGGAAACTAGCCACCATGAAAGCATCCGACTTTCGTCAAAATGCCACAGTTGTATTCATTGTCCTTGTTCTATTCGCTCACTTGGAATCGGCAATGGGCAATTTCCAAGGCTTTTATTGCCACGTGCAAGGGATGATGAATTTTCTAGTTGGGTGGCGTGAAGGAGCCGGAGACGTGGCCATCAAGCCCCTTCTCAATTCATGGATGCAGACTCGGTACGTTGTGTGGTGGGCTCGTGCCTATTTCAGCTCGTTGGATATACATCAGCAGCTACCGTCGATCCCCTTACCCATCTCACTGAAAGAAGTACCCCGTACACTCCACGAACGACGTGTCAAGGTACTAAGCATCATGTGTGAATCACATCGACTGAACTTTAAGGCCGTGCTCCAGCATTTCAGGAATATGGGGTCTGAAGAAAAGGTCAAACATGAAAACTACCAGGGCTACGCTGAGTGCGCTTCCCTTCTGTGTCACCAGGCTAGGAAGTTAGACGAGTGGCTGTTGCATCTTCCACCTTCTGAGCAACCCATTTACGGACTCAATGACACGAGCAGCACGACAATCCATTTCCTATCTCACGACGCAGCGCTCAACTACGCCTACTATGTAGTAGCGCGTATAATGCAGTGTACAGGTCTCTTGCAAGAACTACGCAGTCAAACCACTTCAGGTTCCGAAGATGAGTGCTACCAAACGGAGGTTTGGGCGCAGACCTTATTACAGATTGCGCAAGGTACAGAGATGCGAACTTCTATCACCAGAAACAGTTATACAATCGGGTTCTCGGGCTTACTACTGGCGGGGATTCTTCGATGCCAAAGTCTTTCTGTCGGGTTGGAGATCCAAAACTGGCTACAAGCGCTGCAGGATCTGCAGCCAACAGAAGAAGGGGCTTTCCCAGTTTACCAGACCTTGAGTGTTGTCAAAGTCATCAATCAACAGAGGATAGTAGGCCGAGACGTGTTTGCTGTCACGCAACTGGTGGACGATGGTGGTGGATACCCCAAGGTCACGGCCTACAATAGCCAATCTATCAGCAGTCTCTTGTTTCATGGCAGATGTCGGATAAGTAACTGTCTCTTCGAGGAATGTATCACCCTAAATGTTTAGATCTATATCCAGGACCGACAATCAATACTATAGCCTCAGGCAATTTTATACAACAATTCTTTTAATCTCGAACAACACCATGGCAATACACAAGTCAGTCCATGTGCAAGCGGATACAAAGGCTGACCATGGGAGCCATCTTTTTCCAACATTGTAGCTCTTCAGTACTGGTTACGGGGGTTCTGATGGCTTTTGATATAGATTATTGGATTTAGCTGTAGTTACTTGAGGGTTTACATCTAGCTGGCCCTGTTCTCTAATTGTTGAGCTAAGACAACGGTTTTCAATAACTATGAATAAAGTCTTTCCATTATTATTATTAATGATTTTCTCTAACATAGATTATTAACATAAAAAGTATGACTAGTTAGTTAGTTCATTCCCATTCCATAAAACTCCACCGGCCCTACCAAGTACTACAATATCTCCATCAATCTCCAACACACACACAATGACACCCACTCCCAGCCACCTTATTTACACAGTGGGTCATAGAACCAAAACCTGCTTGTACGACGTACGATCAACCCCCCCAACAAACCATCCCAGAGCTAAACAAACTGGCCTGCTGCGCCAAGTGCCATGGAATCGCTAAAATACAATAGTGCTATGGGGTACAGCTTCCAACCCCATAGAAATGTGGAGTCTCCAGGCCCAACGGTGACCATTTCGGATTAAGTGGCATTTCTCTCATTTTCTAGAATCGTACGATCTCCACGGGTGCTACTATAGTAATTGTTGACGTAATAGAAAATAAATGGTAGCAATAAGCTCTTCTTCCTGAGTACTACTGCGTATAACTGCCTTTCTTGTCATAGATCATCTCATTCCGACATGTCGTCATCGAAATCCGTCTCGGATTCCGTCTCGTAGTCCTCTTTTGGAAGAGATCGTCAGTGGATCAGGATCAAGCTCCAGCATTGCAGAGACAAAGGAATTGGAGGGGAGGGGGGAGGTACCCACCTTCTGCCCAGTCAAAGTCGAAGTATCCATCGACTTTAGATATCAGAGCATCGCGAACAAAATGCTCTGTTATATCGTTAATATTCGTGTCGTTCGTCGATTTTAAGACGGCCAAGTGGAAGCCTCTGTTCCCCGGTCCCAGCTGGTCGATGAAGTCAAGAATGCCCTTGCCTTTGAATGCACTGCGGCCGAGGATGACGAGGTTTTTGAGCTTGGGAAGACAGAGGAATGCGTTCCATATGTCGTCGCAGAAGTATTGGCCGTCGATCCAGAGCCGTTCAAGATGGGGCAAATGGGGTGTTAGTGCCATTACATCGTCGGTGGTGAAACCGCTCGATATATCTTCGAGCTTTAGTTCGCGGAGATTGGTTAGTTGGCTGAGGGCCTGGAAGAGGGAGTCGTTGTGCTCGGGTCCGTTGCTTCCTTTGCCGCTCAGGTGCAGGTATTGTAGAGATGGCTGCTGGTGGAGGGCCTCATGGAAGAGACTTGCCTCGTGTATCCAGTAGTCTTTTAATGAGACGCTCGAGAGACGGAGACTCTCCTCAGGGAGGACTTTTGCGAGTAAAAGTGCGTCGTCCTTCGTGAAGCGTCTAAGTTCCAGCTGCTGTAGGGTTTTACAGCGGCGTATCCAATTGGCCACTTCGTCTATAGACTGGGAAAACGCTTCATCGTAGATCCCAACTGAGTCTGTCAATACTAAGACTTTCAATGCTGGTGGTGCGGTTAGTGAGAGTAGCTCAGCGACTGCCGTGATACTCAGACTGTCCATCTTGAGTTCGGTTAGTGAGTCCCAATGTGAGCTCAGGGCCCTGATCGAGCGGGGTCCTAGTTGGAAACAGCCAAGCATTTCATAACACTCCAGAGTGTTAGGCCGCAGCTCGTTTAGAAACTTTTCCGAGTCCGCATCTGCATTATTAGGCGGTTCTGCATACCTAGTAGTGGATGCTCGTAAGTAGTACTGGGCAAGAGGCATCGTACAGGACCATACCATGATCGTATTGTGACTTTTTTGAGGTCGGGGCAGTTGCTGCGAGTCTTACCTCCCACATGATCCATAAGAGAAGCGCCGGACCAGATTCTCAATGTTTGCAGAGAGGGTAACTGTTGAAGGAACTCAGCTAGCACGGAGGATTGCTCTGGATATCCTGTCAGATACCTTCTACTGTGCTGGGTTGTCATGATATGACCTACCATTGCAGGACATTCCCCTTATCGACGTTGATCTTTGTATGATTGCTTTGCTATTATTAGCTCAATGCGGCACACAGAAGTACCATAGAGCTAGAGGGTGAATAACGCAGGTTTGCCAAGGCAAGATTAAACTGACCCGAGCCGACTGTCAACAGAACAAATTCTTTATCAAATGACTTGGAAGAGGAACGAAGCCGTCTGTTCCCTTTCATCTCATACTCATGAGACAAGTAATCATCAATCTCCGGGGTAAAGAATGCTCTATACATCGTCAGTGGGACAAACGTCATCTAGTGACAGAGCTGACCTACTCCTTTTCATCTTCATTGTATAGCTCACGAAGAAGGTGCTGCAGGCCTTCAAGGTCCAGATAATGAATATAAGTATAATAAGGCACATACGTATACTCCAAGGCAGACAGCACTATGGAGCGCCACATCTTAGCCCATTTGCGAATCGAGTAAATCTTCACATCCCGTAGAGCGGCTAACGTGATAGACGTCCTTCGGGATAGAAAGTGATGGTGTCCGAGAGTCGAAGAATTACGCTGCCTGGTATTAGATATTAGCGGATGATGCATAGCATGTATAGCGACAAAACCTTACCTATATAGAACCTGTAAGGCGGGCTCCGTGAAGCATCGGGCTGTTAAGGCACATTGATACAAGCTGTTGTAGTCGCGCTGGTCCGCGAGGATGTTAAGAATGATATAGAGAACATCGCCAACTAACGGGAAGGCCATCTTGACATGAAGAGATCATCCAGTGGCGATGATAAGCTCGACGTGGCTCACTACATTCAATAGTTAGAAGAGCTTCAACGGAATGCGGCTTATGTAAGCTCGCGTTTGTGTTTGGATTTCATGCAACTGATCCGAGTCCAGCACTCCTGGTCTTTTACTACTAGTTCTTATAATACCAGTGATTGGTATAGAAACTAGTAAATGCAAACAAAATTTTGCCACTGAAGAGACATGGTCGCCTTATCATTTTCCCTCGCCCCCGAGGCGCTGTACCAGCTGCACGATGCACTGACGTGCCTTGCCAAGTTCCATGAGACTGTAGCCATTGAGGCCGAGTTCGACTTGGTAAGTGCCCTGAAATTGTTATAATTATGTATCTTTAAAGAATATCTGAACTGACTGGAAAGCCCAGCTTCGTCTGAGCGTGCTCAACTCTACCAAAACGGCATATTCCGCCTTTGTTTTTGAGGCGGACACCTTCTTTGAGTCCTACTCTTTTGATCTGCCACGGGGCAGTAGAGCATCTAGGACTGCCCGTCCCGATAGATTCTGCTTTCAACTGTACATTAAAGTGAGAGCACTTCCAAGGATTGCACTAAGTGATGTTCTTGGCACTAACTTTCTTAAGACACTGCTCTCGGTCTTCAAGGGGAGAACCAGAGACAAGGACACGGCAGTTGAACGTTGCGAAGTTGAGTTGCATGAGCATCCGGACCAAACTGAATGCAGACTCGCCATTAAGATGATTTGTGGACTTGGTAAGGAATCAAATAACATCATCAGCGACTAAGTAATCTTTCTATGGGTTTACTCTGACTATCATCCTAGGAGTCATCAAGTCCTATAAGCTCACTTATGAACCAACTACGGTTAACCATGCTGTCTTTGACAGAACGAAAACGACAAATCAGTGGAGCATAGAACCTAAATTTCTAAGAGAGATAACGGATCATTTCAGCCCCTCTGCAGAGCAGTTGGATATTTACTCTGATAACGGCAAGGCTGTTTTCACTAGCTTCACTACGAAGATTACCGATGGAAAAGGTCTGATACATCCATTAGCCATTGTAGTAATGCACTGATTAACGCCCCTCAGAAATCCTCAAGAAGCCGGTACATACATCAGTGGCTATTGACAAAAAGGACTTTGAATATTTCTTAGCAGAAGACAATCTCCACATTGCTATCACCTTGAAAGACTTCAAGGCGGTAATAGCACATGCCGAGTCCGCACATTCAACAATCACAGCTCGATACACACGCCCAACTCGGCCCTTGCAGCTTGCATACGATTTTGGGGGCGTGAAGACTGAATTCACTCTGATGACAACAGGGGACTCCGAGAGCGATATACCAGATTCATCTCATGCACCAGAATTATCAGCAAGGCAGACGCCTGCTCCGGCTAATGTCGGCCGAGCGAACGTTACTTCTAATACGAGCCATATGCCTCCGCCCCGCGCGCGATCTATTCGTCCGCTCACCGGGACTCCGGGAGCTTCTGTTAGTGGCACAGGGACGAACACCGAAAGCCAGCGGCCGCCCGCTGCATCCATCCAGTTCGACAGCCTGTTCGTACCAGCAGATGATGATAGGCAATGGGATGTACCGAACGACGAAGAGGAAGAAGCCGAGGACAGACTTGGATGGGATGCAACTGGCGATCAGGTATGGCAGGTAGAACGGATCTGCCCAGGCTCATTACTGATCAAAGTCAGCAGACATTCGACGAGGGTCTCGCCCCCCGCTTGCGAGATAATGAGCCCAGCATGCCTCAACAAGACACAAGTCATGAGGAAGATATGGGTTTACCCCCGACGCAACGTATATCACAGGTAAGAGGAATCCGCTCCGCCACAACAACCAGGTTGACATTCCGTAGGTTCAGGGTCTTGGTCTTTTCGACTGAGGGGATTGAGTTCTTGCTCCAAGGACATATTGATCGGATGAAGGTCACCAGCCATGGCCCGTCACTCAGGACCCGAAATGGAGTAAACGGATTCACCTCCTCTTCCTGCGAGACCATCCGCAGGTCACGACATGACAACCCAGCTAGTCGCGCAACCCGCCCAAACACCAACAACATGGAACTCTCCTTCTGTAGGAAGAGGAATCAAACCATACCTCCCCTTCACATTCCCCTGTTCATCCGCAACAGGCCCACAATTCCCATGCTCGCCCCAGCCAAATGCCACAACTATCCCACCGCCAAGCAAAGCAAGAGCATGCTCGCTTCCCACCGCCAGCTCCCTCGCTACCGGCAAATCCACCGGTGGAAGCTGACCACGATCATTGCGCCCCCAAGCCAAAACATCCCCATCTCGTTGTACATAAACACCATGCCAACTAGCCCAGATACCACGATACGCCCCCAAGGCAAGGGGAGCATCAGACAAAACATTCCACCTATTATCCGCGGACCCCAATATCACAAACTCCCCCTTACTCCTATCTCCCGTAACAACCGTAAACTCGCGCCCACAAACAGCACCCGTTGCCCGAAACGGCACCCCTTCAACCTTAACCGGCTCCCAAACAACCTTCTGCCACTTCGCCGCCTCCCCCAGCTGACTCTTCCTCGCCGCACCCCATCCATACACCGAGCCATCCGACAACACAACAACCGTATGTCCCATCCCACTCGCAACGCACACAACTTCTGTCCCAGACGGTGGGAAATCCTTAATTACCACAGGCTCAATAGCTCGCACCACCCCTTCCCCAAGCCCCAGCTCCCCCTTCGCCCCAGACCCAAGCACAAACACCCCACCTCCCTCAGCAGCAACAAGGAAAGTCCCCTCCCAGCACGCTGAAACGTCCCTGAACGTCTCACAAGGCCGCCCCCTTCCATCGTCTTGTACAACGACTCTCCGGAATCTCGTCAAGGCATTCCCGGGCTCAACACCACACCTCCCGTCCTCGTTACACCCCGCCGCGTACACGGCTCCATCAGAGAATAGAAGAAGGGTGTGGTTCCCCCCTGCAGCTATATGGCGAAGGGAATTGGTTGATTTGCCTTCAGTCGACTGTAGAATTTCTGGCTCTGATGCTTCAAATAAACATCTAGTTGGGATTGAAACGTCTTCGTCGTGCCCGATACCTAATTGGCCAGATCCATTGGACCCGAAAGCGAAGAGGGGCATGCCAGCTTTATGCGGGCGTGGGGAGTCGCTGTGGCGGGTTGAGTTTATAGTGGATTGTGTTAGTGTGTCTTGGTGGTGTACTTTCATTAATTGCGATATCGAGAGAGAACTTGTGTAATATTAGTACATCTTTATGATGGTATAGTGGGGTTGACTGAGAGTATGTACTGTGTATCTTTTGGGATACCGCCTACTTGTTTGTGGAGTGGAATCGTTGAACGGTCACCTGATCTCCAGGGCGGAGAATATCTTACTTTGTTGCATTCGGAAAAGATTACGTCGGAGATTTAATTAGGAAGATAATGTATGATGATCCAGCACGCTATTGATTGGGGTATGCAACATTAGACAAGTCTATACTATATACGCGGGTATTCACAGCACCCAATGCACATTGCTCTCGTCAACCGATTCAACGTCGTCACAAAAGAAGGGAAATTAAGCTATACAGGTAAAGAGACGAGAGGGCTCCATGCAGAAGAACATATCACATCCCAAAACAGTCAAAAGAAACTCAGCAAATGGGTATAAAAGCGATCAGGTGGATTTTTCAGACTTTTCGTTAAAAGACGCGGTCGAGTCATCTTCCTGGGCCGCCGGAGGCAGGGCGAAGTTATCCGACTTCGCGTTCTGCTCCATCGGGCGGAACATGGGGCTAGTCCGATGGAAGTACGCGTGAACGTGTCCTTCTAAGAGGCTGTCGTCGGTATCCATAGCGAGTTCCTCACCCTTATCCTTCTCAGCGATACGAGCAGCCATGGCAGACTCCCATTCGGCACGGTACTCCTCGACCTTCTGCTTGTAATCGGCCTCGGCATCGTAGAGCTTGCCCTTGCCCATCAGGCGTTCCCAGAAGGACAGGTGCTTCGGGTGGACGGCAGGACCGTGGTATTCGTGCTCACGACCGTCGCGGATGTACTGCCAGCGACGCTCCTGTTCCTTAAGATCCAAACCAGTGGTGTCGGGGAGGAAGACGTAGGTCAGAACCATGCCCGCAAGACCGAACCAGGGAACCACGTAGAACTTGGTCTGCGTGTCGATGTAGTTGTACAAAACTGACGCCAAAAGAGCACCAGCCTTACCGGCGGCGGCAGAAAGACCGTGAGCGGTGGCACGAATCGGAGTGGGGAAAACCTCAGCGGCAACCAGGAAAGTAACCGAGTTAGGGCCAAACTGATTGAAGAAGGAACTCAGGAAGTACATGGTTTGGAACTCCTTAATGTGCTCCGGTGAGGTGTAGTACTTGTAGTGGAAGGCGGGAACGACGAAGAGGACGAAGCACATCAAGAAACCGACCATCTGCATCCACTTACGGCCGTAGAGCTTGTTGTCGATCAGGAACGAGGCGAGATAGTAGCCGACCAGCGAGACACCAACGTTGCACAAGTTCCACAGCCAGGTTGGCATGATAGACGTGGAGGCAGGGCTGATGACTGAAATGAATTCCGACTGGAAGAGCTTGTTGCCGTAGAAAAACACATCGTTGGCAAACCAACCACCAGCAGTCGCCAGGATACGGGGTCCAAAGTACTTGAAGGTCAATGCCAGAGAGTTGAAATCATAGCCGGTGACGGATGCCTTCTTCTTGGCTGCCGCCAACTGCTTGCTAGCCGCCTTCATGTGGTAGGCACGGTAGTAGACCAACCACAAAGTACCAGCCGCCGGAATGGCGAAGGAGATACGGTACACCCATTGAGCGGACACGGACGAGTAGGGAGGGTTACCGCTACCATGGTGGAAGCAAAGCAGCAAGATGATGAGGATGACCTGGTTGAAGAACTGACCCCAGCCCTGCATCAGGAAAGCACTAGTGACTTTCCTACCGCGATGGAGACGGTCCTCCTTGGTCGAGACTTTTCCAGAACCAACGGCATTTTCCATACCACTGGTAGCGGTCATGGGATATTCACCACCAACACCAATACCGTAGAAGAACAGCGACCAAGCGTAGCAGATCACCCAGCCATTCTGGGTCACACCCCAGGCAGCGGTAAGCATGATCAAACCGATAAACATGATTGTGGCATCCTGAATCAGACCCCAACGACGACCAAGCCTAGAAACACGTTAGAAACCCATTGCCGACCAATCAGAAGCATCCCATGGAAGAGAGGTGCATACCAGTCACCGATAATACCGACCAAGATCTGACCCACAATGATACCGATAATCTCGAGGTAGTCGATGGCGTTCAGCATTGTGCATTACAAATTTCGTGATCCTTCCAACACGACTTGAAGGCGGCCTGGAAGAGAGGCTTGACGTTTCCGATGGAGAAGAGCACGTAACTAGAGCGCTCATGGGTTAGCGTCCGATCGATTCTGAGGCACTCGCGACAGAGACAGCACTTACCCCTCCAGACCGAGACCAGCACCGGGAAGCACCATGTTCCGGAAGTAATAGGAGATGGGCGACAAGGGATCTTGCTTGGTCATTTCCCAAATGCCGCTTAGTTCACGCTTGGCTTCCTTCGCATCGTAGGAGCTCACAAACTTGAGCTTCTGGAAGAGGGGCAAATCGGCCCAGTAGGTACCGTCTGGGGTATAGCTGTCATCGGGGCGAATCAGCGCGTCGAAAGCACCCTTCTCGTGATGATCCATGTCCTCGAGGGGATTGTGACTCCCCGACATATCGGGCCCATGGGGGGCACGAGGTCCAAAGTCGGCCATCTAGTCGTCGACAGGTGAAACTGGGCAGGAAGCGACTATCACAACGGTTGCTCTTGGCCTGCGAGATGAGAGGTTCGAGAGCTGGTTAAGCACTCTTGGTACCCCTAAGGAAATGAAGATGACCGTGATGAGGCGTTGGCACACGACGCAGGCCAAGTCGGACAGGCGCGAGGTTACCTTATATGCAAACGGACAAGAGCACCCGAAATTTCTCTGGGCAGAGGCAACCCTCCACCAGCCCGCCTTCGGGGCCCAGGCACATGGCCGAATGGCGGTTTGTGATAAGCCAATGCAGGTCTGGTTAGATCCAGAGTAGTGGCGAGGATCCACGCTGGGCCAAGACAGACAGTCGTCCGTCTTGTCAGTGGAAAGTCGGCGGACCATTCGCGAGTTCGCCTGGGCCGAGAAGGAAGGGCCCATCGAGGCCAATGACAAGACCGGAACATTTCCTGGTGGATGGCATTGCCTACGACCGACGTTTGCCCGTGGGGTGGAGAGACTCGAGAATGAGTGAGTGTAGTAGTGATGTGGGTAATTGAGTGGTTCCCTTTAGGGCACGTTTTTCTTTTTCTCTTTTTTTTTTTTTTGTTTTTTTGGGAT